CCACCATCTCTGCTCTGGCCTATGTCCTGAGACGCTAACATCTATGGACCACATCAATGGATTTTCTTGCCCTCTGGCTTGTGCTTGGGTTCTCCAAAGGAGTTCACAGCTTGGGAGGGCAGTGATTTGGAGTATTTATTCTAGTCCCTTCTAAAGCTAAGTTCATTTGCCTGAATTCTGGCCAGTGGAATGAGGATTGAAGTTAGCTACACTATTTCTGGAATCCTGCTGCAATCCTTGCTATAAATCTTCCCCAACATGAAGTCTGACTGTTGATGTTCAGAGAACTCCAGAAGCCATGAGTAAAGATGGCAGAGCTGCCTGTTTGAGTCCCTGATGAATTGTGTGGGATATAACCCCTCTCCCTGCCTTAGTCAATGACATGTGATATGAGTGAAAAAAAAGTTCTGTTGATTAGTCATTGAGATTTAGGGGTTAGCTGTATAGCAATTAGCAACTCAACTATATTAACACTGCATCTGGTTTGTTTAGAATAGTTGCATCATAATTGAGTTTTCCCTGTTATTGCCATTCAGTTTTGAATAATTTTTAAAGATAACACTATTTCTTTAAAAATGCTGAATTCCATTGCTTCTACAACCATGGGCTCCACATCACTAGTAGCTTTCACTTGTCTGATTATTGATTCATATGACCTACTAATAGATTGTGACTGATAGTTTTAAAAAATTCCTCCATATGCATTTCTTATTGATTGATTTTTAAAATGGAGATAGAGCCTTCCATTTACTGATTCACTCTTCAAATGCCTGCAACAGCTGGAGTTGGGAAAGGGCCAAATCCAGGAGCTGGAACTCAGTCTGGATCATCAGAAGCAGAGCTGAGACTTGAAGCCAGATACTCTGATATGGGGTGCAAGTGTTCCAAGAAGCATCTTAACAGCTGCACCAAAGCCCCACCCTTTCTACATGTACTTCATTTCTGTGTTATAAACACATACCTGCTCGCTGTCCACTCAAGATCAGTAACTGGCAAAACTCGTAGTATATTTATGTCATGACTTGATTAAACTCATTTTTTTAAAAAAAATTATTTGAAAGAGTTACAGAGAGAGAAGGGGAGAGAGAGAGAGATCTTCCATCCTCTGGTTCACTCCCTAAATGGCTGCAATGGCCAAGGCTGGGCCACCCTAAGCCAGAAGTTTCATCCTGGCCTCCCATGTGGGTGGCAGGGACATGAGCTTTTGGTCCATTCGTGTGCTCTTTTCTTTGAATTGTTATTTTTTGTTATTTCAGCCTACTAGGCTGATTACATTTATGACATTAAAAATACCTATGCTATTGTAACTAAAATATTTAAAGCACTTGGTTGAGACCCTGGCATATAGTAAGTACTTGTTGTACATGTGTTTGTATTTCTGTCTGTGTAGTCATTCATCCATTCATGTTTTGAAGCCCAAATTCTCTTCTGTCCCAAAGGACTACTGACTCCCAGTGAAGAACTGTATCCAGACTCCAAAATGTGCACAGTAGTTAGTGAACTGAAATATGGGCTCTCACATGTCTGAATTCTCAGTCGCCCCAAATCCCTTGTACTAGTTTACTGCTGCTGACTGACAAATCACCATAAACTTTTTTTAAAAAAATAAAATTTATTTATTTGAAAGTCAGAGTTACACAGAGAGAGAAGGAGAGGTGAAGGGAAAGAGAGGTCTTCCATCCGCTCGTTCACTCCCCAGCTGGCTGCAATGGCCAGAGCTGCACTGATCTGAAGCCAGGAGCCTGGAGCTTCTTCTGGGTCTCCCACGTGGGTATAGGAGCCCAAAGACTTGGGTCATTTTCTACTGCTTTCGCAGGCCATAGCAGAGAGCTGGATTAGAAGTGGGGCAGCCAGCACTTGAACTGGCACCCATATGGGTTGCCAGCACTGCAGGCAGCAGATTTACCTGCTACACCACAGCGCCAGCCCCAAATCACCATAAACTTGGGCAGCTTCAACCAACACCCAGTTATTATCCCATGGTTCTACTCATCAGAATTCGGGCCTGGCTTAGCTGGGTTCTCTGATCAGGGTCTCACATGCTTGAAATCAAAGTGTCAGGTAGGCAATGATCTTATCTAGACACACAAGTGTCAATTTTGTCTGCAATATTTGTTTCCTTGCAGCTGTATAGTCAAGGTTCCTGATTTCTTTCTGGCTGGTGGCCAGAGACCATTCTCAGCAAGTACAGTTTGCCCTTAGGCTTTGCCACCTGCCTCTTTCACAAGTCCTGCAACATGACAAGGTACTGCCCCCAAGCCAGAGAGAGAGAGTAAGAGAGAGAATGGAGACTCTTCCTTGGACTTGTTGCTCGCAGGGCTCCCTGATTAGGTCAGAGCCACTCTGTGTCGCCCCTTTTATTAACTGGAAGTCAGCTGATTTAGGAACTTAACTGCATCTGGAAATCTTTCTTCACTTTTGCCGTGTAATATGGTATAATCATAGGAGTGATAGCCCATCCCCATTGCCACAGCCCATTGGTTTGAAGTCACTTACAAGTTCTTCATGCTTTCAGGGAGGGGAATACATAAGAGTGTGAGTCACTGGGTGGTCATCTTAGACTTCCATCTACCACAGCCTTCAAATTGGATGTGCATGGCTGACTCCCTGCCTTTATTGATCGCTGGCTAGCAAAGCTTTCACAAAAATGATTGAGTGAAAGGACGGTGGATTCTAAGTTCTTTGGAAAGAGAATCCACATAGCAATGGGGTGAACATTACAAAGTGGCCTCTTGAGTGCTTTGCTTGTACTGAACTCCCGAGCACACAGAGAAGATTTTTGACTTTATCTATAGTTGGTTGTGTAAGTGTTGCTGGTGATAATAAGTTAGAGATCTTGAGACAGTGTTATTGCAAAACAAAACAAAACAAAAACAAAACACAAAAACAAAAACAAAAACACCTCCCAGTTTCAATAAGTAATTCTCATTGACCAACTTCCTACTTTTGAAAGCTTGTCAAGACTCTTGGAGAAAATCCCTAATTTAAAAAGGCGCTGTTGTCCAAATGTGGGCTATTGGGATTCATGCTCTAGTCCACAGGCTCCTTTAAGTTCTCTCTGGGTCCACCTTGAGAGGAGCCTCTTACCAAGTACCGTGCAATGTGTGCCCAAGCGTGTACTTGCACAGGGGGTGGGGCTGGGTGAGAGAGAGGGCTGGCTTTTCTCAGCGGCAGATTCTGCTCTCTGTTACTGCAGAGTTTCAGGAGAGTGGACCCCAGGTAGAAAGAAAGAAACGTGCTAAGAAATTACTAAAATGCAGTATCCATTCGTCAGGCCTGAACTGCTAGACTATTTAGAGGACACCTTGAAAAAAATACCAGGGACTTGATTCGCCCCCACCCCCCACTCTCTGCCTCTAGGTATTTCTTTATAACAGAACTTCTGGGGTTTTATATCCCAAGATTACCTCCAGATGGCCTGAAGTGTTCTCTCCCGGCCATTTCCTAGTGGTGTCTTTTCTTACCTGGGGAGAGGTACCGCAGAGATCAATACCGGAGGGCAGGAATGAAAACACTGACCCAGAAGGCACACTCCAGGCCACTGGCAGCATCTGCTTCACAAATGTCAGGCTGGGGACATCGCCAGATGCTAGTGCCGAAATACCATTTAGAAGACAAACATTGACTCCAGGGGCCAAGGGTCACCTAAACAAAGAGCCAGACTGGCAATGAGGCTCAAAGTGAGGGTACAAAAACTAGATCCATGCAGCCATGACGCTGAGGTCCCTCTCACAGCTCATCAGACTTTCTAGGACCAGAGGAACTTTCCGCATTGTCCTCCATGGCTCTGACCCTATGTCCTATCTGACCTGATGGTGGCTGGGGAGAGAGGTGCCAGGAGGCAGGCGATGAGAGGGCAGGCGCAAATATAACATGAAGACATTACAACACCTTCTTCATGTGGGATCTTGGGGGTCTGTGAAACACAATTTAATGATCACTACACTAAGGATTTTGGGGTGTCTTACCAATGCTGAGGGCTGGAGTAGGGTCATTCATTTTATCTGTGCTGGGAAGGATGCCACCCCCACCCGCCCCAGCCTTTCTGAGAGTGAAAGGCTGTGTCTCCTTGTTCCCTTTGTGCCCTCTGCACTTGTGCGTGTCACTAGTTCTGTCTAGAGTAGAGGCCAGAGGATTGTGAGCAGTTAGAAGAGGTGGATGTTTCTCATGGCCCTTTTCATTCTACCCAGTCATGCATCCTTTCATGCTTGTGCATTTGGGGCAGTGCTCGTAAATGATGACACCAGGTAATGCCCATCCCGTCCAGATTGGGTGGGAGTTGGGCCAAGGTGGAGGCTAAGGATAGAGAGAGGAGAATGAAGAAGAGGAGGCTGCAACTACTTGCGCTGAGACAGCATCAGTGGGGCCAGTGCTGTGATGCGTCATGGTAAGCCCCGGCCTGCAGTGCCGGCATCCCATATGGGCGCCGGCTGGAGTCCCAGCTGCCCCACTTCCGATCCAGCTCCCTGCTGTGGCTTGGGAAAGCAGTAGAAGATGGCCCAAGTCCTTGGGTCCCTGCACCTGCACGAGAGACCCAGAAGAAGCCCCTGGCTCCTGGCTTCAAATTGGCCCAGTTCCGGCCATTGCAACCATCTAGGGAGTGAACCAGCAGATGAAAGATCTCTTTTTGTCTGTCTCTCCCTCTGTCTGTAACTCTGTCTTTCAAATAAATAAAATAAATCTTTTAAAAAAAGGACACCATCAGGATGCTGGCTTGATTACAAAATACCTTGACCACCAAGCTGGGCATCTGGGGACTCTCTTCGCTTACACCCAAGTACTCTGTTATACAAAGAATGGGAAAAATCATACTCTCCCAGCTTCAGTGTTCTGTTCTGTATCTGGGCAACACGCTCCCCCAAACAATGTTTGATGTTGAGCAGATTTGTAGAGAATTATTAAAAAAAAGTTATTCATTGTTAAACATTTTTCACAGATCTGAGAAAGAGTCCAAGGTGGTAAAATCAATAACATTTGCATTCTTCTTTTTTATTGTCTAGCATGCACTGTGGCTTGGCTCAGGTGCGAACACTTGTGAGAGAGATGACTGTAGCTTTGTGATGCCTTTCATTCTGGTAGAATGTCATTTTGAAGAATCTTGGACTTTGAAACTTTTTTTTCACTTGAGAGAGACGGAGAGATTTAACAGTTATTTAACACTGTCTGGGTACATAGCAACGAGCCAGTGGAGGAGCCGAGACCACAAATCCTCGAGTTTCGACTGACTCACGCCATCAGAAGAAACAGAGTTGAAGCTGAACTGCCGTGTTCTGAGCCTTTGGGGATGGGCTTGACTGCGGAGCCCCATTCAGCTGACAGATGACCCACGGATGCTGGGGAGGCGTTGCCATGGAGAGCACAAAGCAGGCATCTGTGGGCCCCAACAAGCAGGCAGGGCGCCCCCCACCCCATCACCCTTTCAGAACCCAGAACCTCCTCTTCAAAAATGAGGAAGCTCTTCTCCTAGTGGCTTGGAGCTCTGCTTAAAGTCACAGAGTGAGGTTTACCTGGACAGTCTCCGTCCACCCTATTTGTAGTAAAACACACACACACACACACACACTCACACAGAACACAAATAACTCTTGATTTTTTTCCCCTCGGGGAACTGCCGCTCTCCCACTGTCAGACCATCTAGCGTGGTTGGAGCTGACTGTCTACGCTCTAGGCGTGGCCACCCAGGAAAGTACATTTTCCTGGACAGTGCCCAGGGATAGGTGTGTGACTCAAGCAGAGTGAAGAAGACTCAGTTCTTAGAAGTAGTTGGATAAAGAAGGTTGTCAAGAGGGTAGGAAACGGGCCTGGAAGGTGTGGCTTCCATCTTGCCCCTCTATTCTGGGAGCCTGCCCGAGAGCGGAGCCTGCAAAGAGAAGAGTGGAATCAAGACACACAGAGGCAGCGTCATGAAAAGGTGCTGGAGCACCGGGATCCAGCCATGACAGAGACTGGCATAGCCTCAGATTGTGCCTTTAATGAGCCAGTAAACTCCCCATTTATGCTCCAGGCTATTTGCAATGTTTTCATTCATTTCCAACAAAGAGAACCAAGCGGGGTTAGCACATGTCCAAACAGGGAGGAGAGAGGAAGCATCCTCGTACTCTTTCCCATGTCTTCAGACATCCTTGTCTTCTTGTTTAGAGGAAGTCGTCTATCTGGATTCTCTGAAATTGTCACTGGAAGACATTGAGAGGGGGTCTTGACCCCTAAAATTGCCCTCCCTTTGGAGATTTCCTACTCATCCTACTGCTGCCATCACACATAAAACAGCCCTTCTCTCCTCTTAATAAACATATGTCCAGGTTCTGCAAGGTTGACTGTGGCGGGGGGAATGGACCTGTTGGAGGGACCAGCTGGCCCTCATAGCTTCCGTGCCTGCTATCCTGATGTTTGTCTTTCATTGATATTCTTGAAAGTCAGCATGTTTCCCCACAGGCTTATGCTGAGCAGATGAGGAAAATGGGCCACCCCCAACCCCCACTCCCCCAGCCCACCTCACCCTTGCCCAGTATTATGTATACAGTTGCACAGTCTCTCCCTGTCCTCTAACCGGAAGGAAGCCAGGGTGGACAGAAGGAGCAATCCCATGATGCCCTGCTTCCTTTACTCCTCTGCTCCTGTTACGTGCTTCTCCCTTCAACTCTTTTTTTTTTTTTTTTACAGGCAGAGTGGACAGTGAGAGAGACAGAGAGAAAGGTCTTCTTTTTCCGTTGGTTCACCCCCCAGTGGCCGCCGCGGCCGGCACATTGCGCTGATCTGAAGCCAGGAGCCAGGTGCTTCTCCTGGTCTCCCATGCGGGTGCAGGGCCCAAGCACTTGGGCCATCCTCCACTGCATTCCTGGGCCACAGCAGAGAGCTGGCCTGGAAGAGGGGCAACCGGGACAGAATCCGGCACCCCGACCGGAACTAGAACCTGGTGTGCCAGTGCCGCAGGTGGAGGATTAGCCTATGGAACCACGGTGCCGGCCTCTTTTTTTTTTTTTTTTTAAGATTTTATTTATTTATTTGAAAGAGTTAGAGAGAGAGAGAGAGAGAGGTCTTCCATCCACTGGTTCACTCCCCAATTGGTTGCAACGTCTGGAGCTGCACTGATCCAAAGCCAGGCGCTTCCTCTGGATCTTTCCACATGGGTGCAGGGGACCAAGGACTTGGGCCATCTTCTACTGCTTTCTCAGGCCATAGCAGAGAGCTGGATCAGAAGTGGAGCAGAGGGGGGACTCGAACCAGTGCCCATATGAGATGCCGGCACTGCAGGTGGCAGCTTTACCCACTACTCCATAGCACCAGCACCCCCTCAACTCTTTACTCGAGGGTTCTGTGCTCAGCTTGACTTTGAGGACATTTGAGTGATTAAAGTGTATGGAGTTGATTCCCCACCCCTACCCCCAGCAAAGGCTTGGAAAAGTATCCCAGCACTATTTCATTTTCCTTATGGAGCCCTGAGCACAGAATTGCTCCATAAAACAGCCTGATGATGACAGATTCTTGGTGAGATGCTGCCCTGTGTTGAAGGTGAGCGTGGGGTCATTTGTGATATTGTCCACTTTAAGCCAACTGAGTCCTGCCCATTCGGACCCTTCCGGCAGCTCTCACATTAGGGTCGCACCAGTGGAGCTTTTGACTGAGAAGTTGCCTAGTTCTCCTGACTATTTAAGAATCTGAATTTCTAAGGTGGACCCAACTTATGCGCACTTTGAGAAAGCTCCGAAGGTGATTCTGGTGACCAGCCAGGTGGAAAACCACTGGGACCAAGACCTCAGCTCTTAGGAGACTCAGAGTCAGCACTACACCAGGCCTGGTTTTGAGCTCACTGAGCAAAGTGTGGATTCTGGTTTTCACTCCCTGATGCTTACAGTTATCGATTGCTCCATGACAAGTGACCCCAGTAGTTAGTGGCTTATTGTCAGCTGTGATGTATAGTTGCTCATCAGTCTGTTTTTTTGAGTGTTCTGCTTCAGAAGGTGTCAGTAGGGACCCTGTCGCAGCTGGCAACTCCAATATATCCTCATTTCTGTGGCTGGCAGTGTATACTGGCCTTGGGTTGAGAGTTCAAGTGGGCTGCAAGGCCCCGTTCTCTCGTCTCCTTCCTGTGCAACTCTGCACGTAGCTGCTTGGGCTTATGGACAGCATGGTGGTTTGGTTGCTTTTACATTTCCTGAGGACAAGCCCTGTTGTGAAGGGCCTGATAACGCTTGTCAAAGCTCATCACATGGCCAGGGCTAGAGTTATCGTGAGAGAAGGGAATGCAATATGAATCCTTGAAGCTATGATCAACGGGGCCCCAAATCTCAGTCTGCAACGTTGTCATCCTGTGTATTCATGGGAAAAGTGCTGAGAGATGTGATCTGAAGACAGCATATAGAAATAGGTAACAGTCTGTCACCCTTCTCATTACTGGGAGCTTTGCTGTCTACTGTGTTGGGCTTGCGAAACAATCTCCTCCTTATCACTGTTAATTATATTGGAGCATTTTGTTTTGGTTTTCCTCTTCCTACTTCTCCCTGGAATGTAGGAACTTACACTGAGTTTTGGAACCTGTAATGTTTGATGTGAAATATTTCCTTCTGTATGGACAAGACTACAACTATTTTAAAATACAGATGAAACATTGACCTACTATTCATTATCTCAATACTGGCCACGTGCTTTATGCCTTCTCTTTCTTTCTTTCCCCTCTATCATAATAACATAAAAAGGATGAATTAAATTTCAACGTAAAAACACTGTCTCCCATAATATAAACACTGGTCACTAACAAACCAGTGCCTCATAGATAAATGACAGCAGCTTTGTTTGCTGCCCACAGAAGCTCCGATGACCAAACAAGGTTACCAATTTTAGCAGTGCTTAAATTGTTCATCATAAGTGCTTACCTATCTGTGGATACTGGTTAACAGAAGGATTTCCCAGCTGTGATGCCCTGAGTCAGCTGATGTGGTACTCAGGAGCTGAGCAGTGAGCACCAGGGCTCCGAAATTCACTTTGAAGGGCAAAATAAGAGTTTGTATCAAGCGTGGGTCTCCAAAAGACAGAATGGTGTGGTTTGGAGGAGGCAGAGGCTGGGATGAGTTTGAGCAAGACCTGAGGCATGAGGTCAAGTTCAAACTTAAAATTGGCCATCCATAGTCACAGATTCTGTACTGGTGAGTTCAACCAATGACAGAGTGAAATCAGTTGTGGGAAGATGTTGCATGTATATTGAACATGTACACATTTCTTTCTTGTCATCATTCTCTGAATGATAGCATATAACAGCTACTTACATAGCATTTACATTGTGTTACATATTGTAAGTACTCTAGAGATGATTTAAAGTATACAGGAGAATATGTGTAGATTATATGCAAATACTGTGTAATTTTATAGAAGAGATTTAATCATCCAGGGGTTTTGGTATTCTTGGAGGTCCCCAGAACCAAACCTGGGCTATCACTGAGGGACATCTGTGTTATATGAACACCCTGTCACAGCAGTTGTATTCTTGAAACGTAGAGAAGGAGGAGCAGTGAGGGCATTTGAAAAGATAAAGAAGTCTGTGCGGGGAATGCAATTCTAGGGAGTTGGGAAGAGATACGATGATACCATTGCTCTGTCTTGGTGCAGGAGCGAGAGAGAGTGTACGGGGAGGCAGATCATCTAATGACCAGCTGCAGGAGCTCCCCCTGCATCCGCTGCTTGTACCCTCTTGAGTAAATGCCCAGTGGGAGGTGGGGCTCCCTGGAGCATGGGGGCTTAGGTGAATATGCCAGTTCTCACACATTTTAAACATTATCAGTTGCTAATTGGAAGCACTTAATGGCAAGTTAGCTACTCCAGAGCTCTATTCCTATGCTAGGGAGTTGGTCCATCAGGAGTCGGCGGTCTTGAAGACTGTGAGCTAGTAGTTCAGTCTTTTTTCCTAACGGCTAGTATCCAGGAGCGCTAACTGCCATTCTGTAACTCATCAAACACTTCTTTTGATATGTCACTCACGGCTCTTGAGAGTTTCTTTGAAGATGCTGATTATTTTTTTAGTAGAGGCTTGGGAGTTAACACAAGCTCTAAAGTAACAGTCTTTTACGTCTCAGGTATCACTCCCATACCTAAAACATTTGTATGGGTTGTCCCAGGCAGCATTTGAGTCTCCCCTACAAAGGGTAGGTCCCTGGGGAATCTAGGGACATTGTGTGTGTCCAGTGACAGCCCTGCCATTATTTGCTATGGACACTCAGAACTTTTCTGAATTTGATAGTAGAATAAATCACTTGTTTGCTGTTTGTTTCCTGCACAGGGCTAGGTGCTGTATCATTGGTGGATGGGGATGGAGGTAGAAAGGGGTTGTTATTTATCTTTTTTCACTAGAACCTAGTGTAATTTCCTGGAAATAAGAAGCAAATGAAGACTTTCCCAACTGCCTCTTACCTTTCCTTCCTTTATAGACACCATGTATGTGAATGCGCATGTGTTTGTGAATTTTTACAACCCCATCTCTGCTTACTTCAAGGTTTGTCTGAATGTAGCCTCCTCCATAAGACCATGGTCCATCACTTCCCCTGAGCTAGAAGCCGTCTCTTCCGCTTAATGAGTCTTCATAGTGTTTTATTTGTACCTTCCTTTTGATCTTTTATCATTGTTATTTTTTGTGTTATAATTAGTCGTTACTTCCTTACCTCTACTTCTATATTTGATGGTAAGATTTTTGTTCCAACCCTCTTTCTGTCTTCTCAATACCTACATCCTGCCGGACCTCAGCTGATGTTATGTGAAGGGATGACTGGCTGAGTGGATGGATGCATTCATGTCTGAATGATAAAATTGTTGCTGTATGTCCCCAGATCCTTCTCAGTTTCTAACTGCTGTCCGGTCTGAATTTCTTGGGAAGACAGGACACAGACACCAAGAAAGCAGTTGAAGTGTCTGTCTAAACCCTTCTTAGTTTTCCTGCGATGTTTAGCCGAGGCAGACAAAATGATACCCTCAAAAATTGTCTTTCCCCTTCTCGCTGATGTTGAAGACAGAAGAGGATGAAAGCAGTCTCTCTCTTCTCCTTCTCGCCCCTTACTCAGAGCTGTCTCCCCAAAGAATCAGGCCCTTTTGGTCTCTATCTTAGTAAACCTCAGCCTGAGCAAAGGGAAAAGAAGCCATCTTGATAACAAGAATTAGCACTTTGTTGTTTGTAACCTTAGAGATTTCTTGACTTGTTTGGCCATATGTGTGTATTTCTATATATTGTGATTTGGAGAGTAATATGTGTCTCTAGAATTTTCTATTCCATGGTTCACATGCACCTTTTATATACATATGAGTATGGATAAGCCACAAGACCTCCCTGGACAGTTGCCTGAGCTGCACATTGCCCAACCTCATTCTTAGTACAAAACAGCCTTCAGGGTAAAAGCTGTTATCTGTTTCATTCTACAGTGGACACATGGGAATATCGTGATGCCTGAAGCTTTTTAACTGAAGGAAACTTTGGGCCAAGTCCATTCCCGGGGCGCTCATGTGTATATCCTCAGTATGTGGCCAACATGAGTAACCTGTTTACAATTTCTTTGTGAAAGCATATGGTGGCCAGTTGTCTCTTGCCTTTTTCAGTTGGAAAGACACATGGCAACTGCTCCCTGGAATTACAGATGTGACCAAGCTGAAGCTCAAGTTTACTGCTACATGGCTGGGGCTTTCCCATACATACTGCTTTGTGGCAGTTCTCTTCATGGCCACAGGGTTTTGTTTGTTTGTTTGCTTGCTTGCTTTTCTCTATTCACATTAATTTACCATTACTTGTGTAGTATTTATTCAGAACAAAGGTTTAAAGAGGCTTTTGTTTCATACAATGATTTTGACTTACAGCTTATTGAAAATATTAAGGGAACTTTGTTATAGGGCCTTAAAAAGAGCAATTTTGCAAGAAAACCTGATACATGAGAAATTCATCTGTTTGTTTAAAAGATAATGACAAGCCAATTAACTGTGAATTTAATTTTATGTTGAGAAATAGTGCCAGCTGCTAATGGGAGGCTTTCAGTTATAAGTCAGTGATTCCAGAGCTCATATGTGGAGTTGGCGGTCCTGAAGACTGTCCGCAGTGGTTTGGTCTCTCTAATAGCTGGGGTCCAGGAAGCACCATCCTGTGACTCATCAAATGCTTCTTCACTTCTCCAACATCACTCACACTGTCAAAAGTATCATTAAAGAGACTTACTAAAAAAAAAAAACAGACTGGGAAATGAATGCAAGATAGAAAGCAAGAGTTGCTCATGTTTCAAGTATGTTTTCATGATTAAAAAATTTAGTTGGCCACCTCAGATATTGTTTAAGTCCCCTTATATTTAAGGGGGAGGGATAATCTCTCCCTGACCCAACACACACACACACACACACACACACACACACACACAAGGTATTTACAAAGTTAATGGAAAATGCATATTTTAACTTTTCACATCATTTAAAAACATTTATTTTATTTGTAAGGCAAGCGCACACACACACACACACATACATATAACAACCACAGATCCTTCATCCTCTGTTTCATTCTCCAAATGCTCACAATAGCAGGGCTGGGCCAGGCTGAAGCCAGGAGCCAAGACCTCAATCTGGGGTTCCCACAGGAACCCAAGTACTTGAGCCATAATTTCTTGCCTTCCCAGAATGTGCATTAGCAGGAAATTGGATCAGAAGTCAAGTAGCTGGGTCTTGAATCAGGCACTCTGATACAGGATATGGACATCACAACTAGTGACTTAACTGCTATGCCAAATGCCCACCCTTTACAATGTTTTTGAAGTACTTTGCCTATGCATATACATGTTGTATAAATATGATGATGTGGGGACCAGCACTGTGGCACAGCAGGTAAAGCTGCCACCTGCAGTGCTGGCATCCCCTATAGGTGCCAGTTTGAGTCCTGGATGTTCTACTTCTGATCCAGCTCCCTGCTATGGCCTGGGAAAGCAGTAGAAGATGGCCCAAGTCTTTGGGCCTCTATATCCGTGTAGGAAACCCAGAAGAAGTTCCTGGCTCCTGGCTTTGGATTGGCTTAGCTCCAGCCATTATGGCCATCTGGGGAGTGAACCAGCAGATGGAAGACCTTTCTATCTGCCTCTGCCTCTGCCTCTCTCTAGCTCTGCCTTTTAAATAAATAAATAAATCTTTTTTTGTTGTTCTACTTAATACTATTGGTTGAACTCTGTAATTACACACAATTATTCTTAGGTGTTTAAATTTAACTGAAAAGTGATCCCTGTTAAGTATAACAGCAGGAATAAGAGAGGGAGGAGATGTACAGCTTAGCACATGCTCAATCGGACTTGCCCCAAATGGTGGAGTTAGAAACATGCCAGGGGATTCCAATTCAATCCCATCAAGGTGGCATGTACCAATGCCATCTCACTAGTCCAAGTGATCAGTTTCAGTTCACAGTTGATCATAATGATAGGACTAAGAGTCAAAGGGATCACATAAACAAGACTAGTGTCTGCGAATACTAACTGATAGAATGAAAAAGGGAGAGAATGATCCAACATGGGAAGCAGGATACACAGCAGACTCATAGAATGGCAGATGTCCTAAATAGCACTCTGGCCTCATAATCAGCCCTTAAGGCATTGGGATCTGGCTGAAGAGCCCATGCGAATATTTCAGGCATGGAAAGCCAAGACGCTCTGGCAAAAAAAACAAAAAACAAAAAACAAAAAACAAAAAACCAAAAAACAAACAAAAAAAAACCAACCAACCAACCAAACCAAACCTATATGAAAGATCTCTGCGAGTGAGATCCCAGTGGAAAGAACGGGCCATCAAAGAAGGAGCTACCTTTCTCTGAAGGGAGGAGAGAACTTCCACTTTGACTATGACCTTGTCTAAATAAGATCGGAGTTGGCAAACTCAAGAGGCTTCCATAGCCTTGGCAACTCATGACAAGAGCCTCGGGTAATTACTGATGCCATAAACAAGAGCGTCAATTGTTAAATCAACAACAGGAGTCACTGTGCACTTACTCCCCATGTAGGACCTCTGTCCTTAATGTGTTGTACTATGTGAATTAACGGTATAACTAGTACTCAAACAGTACTTTACACTTTGTGTTTCTGTGTGGGTGCAAACTGTTGAAATCTTTACTTAATATATATTAAATTGATCTTCTGTATATAAAGATAATTGAAAATGAATCTTGATGTGAATGGGATGGGAGAGGGAGCGGGAGATGGGAGGGTTGTGAGTGGGAGGGAGGTTATGGGGTGGGGGGAAAGCCACTGTAATCCAAAAGCTATACTTTGGAAATTTATATTTTTAAATAAAAGTTAAAAAAGAGTACAAAGTCAAGTAAAAAAATGAAATATGACAATGTGAAGTCATAGAAGTGAGATCAGAGCCAACTTTATTGTTACATTTTTGGAAAAAGGAGTAAATCTAATGGTAAAGACTGAAATGGAAAAATCATAAAACAGGTTCTTACAGGTTTACATCTACTAATGTAGAGAAAATTTCTTTGCTCCATTTCTAAATAATACTTAGTCAATAAAGAAAGAACAAACAACTTGAGTAACATATAAGCATTATCCTCTGTTCAAAAGGTAGTTAACTTGATTTCTTCAACTTGAATAAACCAAATGCCAGAATATTATTTTGAACTACTTTTGAATGCAAAAAGGTCAACAATGTCAAAGTAATGTAAGAAGACATCAACTCATTTGTGATAAGCAGGCATGACTACTGTTCTCTAAATTCTACTTATATCTACCTAGAATGAGAAACATAGGTGGGAACAGACGATGGAACAGGAATGGCAGCAGACAAGCTGAAGAGAATGTGGTGTTTTTTGTTTATGAATGGAAGTGAGTGTGATATCGACATGTAAGCAATTGAAGAAATGGAGTGGAGGAGTCAGACCTTGTGGTACAGTGAGTCAGGCTGTTGCGTGGGACTCCCACATCCCATGCTGTAGGGCTGGTGTGAGTCCCAGACATTCTGCTTCTGCTTCTGCTGCTGCTGCTTCTTTTCTTCTTCTTTTTTTTTGGACAGGCAGAGTTAGACAGTGAGAGAGACAGAGAGAAAGGTCTTCCTTTTGCCATTGGTTCACCCCCCAAATGGCCGCTACGGCCGGCGTGCTGCAGCCGGTGCACTACGCCGATCCGAAGCCAGGAGCCAGGTGCTTCTTCTGGTCTCCCATGGGGTGCAGGGGCCCAAGCACTTGGGCCATCCTCCACTGCCCTCCCGGGCCACAGCAGAGAGCTGGCCTGGAAGAGGAGCAACCAGGACAGAATCCGGTGCCCCGACCGGGACTAGAACCCGGGGTGCCGGCGCCGCAGGCAGAGGATTAGCTTATTGAGCCGCGGCACCGGCCTCACTCTGCTTCTGACCCCGCTCTCTGCTAGTGCATCCTAGGAGGCAACAGATGATGGTTCAAGTGCTTAGGGCCCTGACACCCACGTGGGAAACTTGGATGGAGTTCTGGGCTCCTGGCTGTGGCCTGACCCATCTCTGGCTGTTGCAGATATTAGGGGAAGTGAACCAGTGGTTGAAGATCTTTCTTTCTCTATCTGTCCCCCTCTCTTTGTTACTCTGCTTTTCAAGTAGGTGAAAATAATTAAATATTTTTTAAAAAAAGAAATACGGAGTGGGAAAAACCATTACTTCATAAGTTGGATAAGGAAGGCTGGCCTTAGATACATTGACTCTTGGCGGGGGAGTGGGGAACATTTTTACAGCCCTGTTACTGCACAACTTTTAGTCCTGTGTGAAGAGTTATATACACACCATTATATACATATAAGCCATATATGTTATATATATGATTACATATATTATGTATAAAATCCATATGAGGAGCTTTAAGTTTCATGAAAGTGCATATTATGAAAAGCCTATGCATGAATTTCAAAATTTTCCCTGTGATCCTTTAATTCTACCTTCCCTTGGAATTTTTAATGATACAATTTTGATGTGTTTATACAAATCATGTAGATATATTGATAGAGTTGAAGTAGACTGGTGAATCAGACTGTTTCCCATATTGCCTGCTTCTTGCTTATGTTTATATATAAATATGTGTTCTGTTTAAACTATAGAAACCTCCTTGGTAGGAGTCTCTTTTTATTCCTTATTGAACTAGTACCTTTTCTTGTCTCCAGGGATTACCACTTGGCGTGAAACAGAGCATGGCCTGATGTAGAGGGGGAGGATTTTGTCTCATTGTAATTGTTTCAGGGGCTACAAAAAGGTTAGAAAAACACAGTCACCTGAAGTGTGGTATCGGAATTCCCTGATTCATCTTGGAAGAACCATGTGAATCCACTTTTAGCTGGACCTAGAAACACTGGGAAGTGATGCAGAGGTCTGGCAGGTCTCCGGAACAATCCCGCCCGGCCAGACCTTGCTTCTCCTTGTTGCTGTGGTGATGGGGAGCACCAGGTTTCGGGTGCAGAGGAGGTGCTGCACCTGAGAAAGTGGAAGAAATCCCTTTCTGGACAACCATCACGCCAAGAAAGGAGGACAGTTCCTGCTAATGGAGTTAGGTCTGGTCTACCCTTTATTCGAAAATGGAACATTTGCCTGGGCACCCACTCTTGGAGAGCGACAAATATGAAATTCGTACTGCACTCTGGGTAATTACTTTGTTCACTCAGCTAGCGCATTGGCATGCTGTTTGATTGTATTTGGGGCCACGGTTGCCTTTTCTGTTATTTCTGGGCTGTTTGTTCTTGGCCTCCTCTCAGACTTATCTCCTTACACTTTCCCTGTTGACTATGCTCGAGCATTGGGCATTGAGTCACTGTTTGGACAGACCAAGCTTGTGTCCACCTTAGGGTCATGGCACTTGCTCTCTGCTCTTTCTGGAACACTCTTCCCTAGATACACAGAAGGGGAGCTACACTTCTGTCTTCCTGAGTCTGCTTGCACATGACCCCCCCACACCCACACCCTCCAGTAGTCATTTGTATCATATCATCCTATTTTGTTTCATCGCTTGCCAAAACTAACTCACCTCTTGACCACTTTCACGATAGAGGATGCCTGCACATACACCCCTGTGTGCAGAGTACCTGGACCAGGGAATGGTCTGCCCTGGTGCTCAGGAAATGCGTGAGACACATCGGGACTGTAAATTCATCTCCAGCTCATGGAGTTCCTCCCTTTCTGAGCAAACTTGCTTCCTTCTAGTTAGAGGCCAGCTCTTAAACATTCCAGATTAGCATATTGGTGATAGAAGAAATAAAACAGTATTTTAGTCCATTTTCAATAATGTTGAAGACCATTTCTGAAAGGGCAAGAAAGAGGTTAGAGAAAGAAAAATGTGTTTAATTATGAGGTCTTAGGGCTTTTCTTGGTCCCACCTTCCTGGTTGGCTTGGGACAGATGTTCGTTGGAATAGAAATTGCCTTATTTATCCCAAGCTGTTTGGGCTTTTCTTTTATCGTGAGTGGGCCTTTGTGTTGGGAAAGAACTGTAAGACTTCCTGCTTACTCCAGCTTAGACATCTGTTAGTCAAACAGACATTTCTCCATAGACTTCAAATGACTACTTTCTTCTCATACGAACGGAAATATGCTGACTATAAGGGGGCCAAGGGAAAAAAAGTTTTCCATCGGATATCCTTATAAGGAAAGCACAAGACATGTGCTTATAATGTGCAAACAACTATTACTCTGAGAAAGAATTATTAACATGTACTAACTTTGATAAAAATAAAAACTAAATCATTTCCATTGTTATAAACCGTTTGTTTTTCAACTGGTATATTCATAAACTTCAATTATAAAATTAATGACAGATGCACAAGAAGTCATGTGTCTGGCCTCCACATGCATGCATTGGAGCTAGCTCTTTTTAATCCTCATTTTAAAGATTCTTTCTTTCGATAGGACTGAAATAATTTGGAAACAATGAGCTTATTTTTTCTTTTTTCTTTTCTTCTTCTTTTTTTTTTTAACCTGTGCTGTTTTATAATCTTCTCTGATGTGGATAACTTGTTTACTCTCCACCACGAACTCTTTGCTCTTCACTCATTAGTCTTATACCTGTCCCCACGTAGTTCATGTTCCTGGGAACACCAGAACTGGGAGCATGAAGTACCCTTTTGTGAAAAACGAGGAGGGGCTTCTCCTCCTCCAAGATTATGTTCTTATAAACAGTGATTTTCCAGAACATCTGCAGAGTGGAGGAATAATACTAACATTTTGTTCTTCAGATTTTTTTTGTTTAAAACAACTTAAAAATTAATCTGAAAATGATGTGAAATTTCTCTCACATATCTCTTCACTCGCCGAGTTAAATAGGACTTCTGGCCTGGAAGGAGCCTTGACATTGTGTGAGTCCCACTGGGACAAGATAAACTGGGAGATGTCGCAGAGGTGCCGGAGTCATGCTTTCCTTCGGCAGGTGCATACGCTGGGTAGCATCAAGTCACATCCAGGGGGAGCTGTGTTCAGCTCACGCAAGCAGTGCAAAAAGCGAGACCTGGACCTCCATTTTATGGCACTTGGACATAAATGACTGAAAGATTATTTAGAAATTTACATCATCTAGCATAGGGATTTATTAATTCCAGTCCAGGAAAATCTGAGAACCCATGGATGGAGTCACTGTAGTTATGCGCAAGGTTTCTTGTGCATTTATGCTTTCTCATTTTTTGTTGTTGTTGTGGGGGATGGGGGGGGGGATTGTCCAGTAGTTTTTGGTTCATTCTCAGAAGTGTATGGATGATGGCAACAGAGCTAGACCAGCATTTCTCAAACTTTTGTTTTATGGGACTTAATGTACTCTGTAATGTCATTAAGCCTTCACTGGGATCAGATAAATTTAGGAAACACTGTTTAGTGTGTTTTACCTATTGGAGATCATAATAAATGTTAACGTACTAAAAGCTCTAAGATATCCTGTGGCAAAGGAGCTATTTTGCTTTATTTAACTAGCATTTTATTTAACAATGAAGTCCCATGTTTGTGGAACACCTGTGAGTATCCCATGGGCATTAATGTTCCATGGAGCTGGGTTTGAGAAATGTTGAACTGTATTGGGTCGCCCAGATTGCCTGCCTCTCATTGTTAAGAGCCCTTCTTGAGGGACTGTGGTTGAAAGAGTCTTTGTTAAATGTATTCTTTTTTTTTTTTTAAAAAAAAGGGAGTTATTTATTTATTTGAGAGAGAGAGAGAAATACCT